GATGGCTGCCTAATGCTCTTCCCACGGGTGTGCTGGTCAGGGAGGTCACAGGCAGGTACAAGCCAAACTGCTGTGTGGATGACTTGAGTGGTGAGGTTTTGCTGAGAACAAACCAGTGCGTATCACCATGATTCAAGAGGTAGAAACTTGCTGTTAGTGTTGCCACCCTGGTTGAGATGAATGGGGTAGGGGCAGGCCTCTGTGATGCCTGGGGTATTGCAGCTTCACAGCCTCAGGGGTTGCAGCCACTGTGCTGCAAAGCAAATAGCTGCCTGTATCGATTTACATTGCAAATGCACAACTACAAGCCACCTGCAAACTTCTTTGCAAATTTGTTTGACTGCAAAACCCATCACAAGAATGAAACTCCTTGCTCACAGAATTCAGTTCCTTTGCCCCTGGTTATGGCTTACAGAACCAAAGAAAACAACTTTTTGTGGTGCAGGAATGGTAAACTTATTGAGACTGAATTATTTTTCCTTGTCACACAGCAGCGAGTGCTGGAGGATTCCACCGGCATCGGTACAGAATCACCACTGGGCTAAAAATAGCTGGAGACCACAGAGCTGTGGGGAGAGGAGCGGCAGTGCTCAGCTGGACACCTGAGGTCTCCTCCAGCCAAAGTGAGCCATCCCTCCCAGCCTCACCGCTATGCACAGCTTCACCCTTAACCAAAGCTGTCTTAACAAATCCATCCACATACTGTTTGGTGTGACTTATCGACCTGTCAGTGAGCAAATGTGGGTGTGTTGGTGTGGGCAAGCCAGGACTTGCTGGGTTAGCTTGTTAGCTGCTTCTGCTGCCCTTGAGGACTTGGGGGCCTGCTCAGACCATGGTAACTCTGCTGTGTACCAGCACTGGAAAATTACTCTGTTGTTACTCCTGCCTTCCATCCATGATCATTTTCTCCCTCGTGGTTATAAATACGTTTTAATCAAAATGAGCATGTTTTACTCTTCTCTGTAAACAATGCAAAATGCAATGCAAACATGTCACTGTCTGCTGCTTGGTATTTCTGCATAATCTGGCAATCCTGCACAGAGCAGATAAAACAGCAGAGAAGGAAAGTTCTTACCTCATTTCTCTCTTCTGACCAAGACAATACATCTAATGGCAGGACACGCAATCTGTCTGTCCCAGATACACAAACATTTAATCTCTAAGTCTGGCTAATATTACTGCTGTTGGGGTCCTAGGAGGCTCAGTTGTCCCTGGTTCCTGCCACAACTTCTGGTTCCAGGTTGGTAGCCGTCACCACCCCATCAAACACTCTGATTTGAGCAAATCAGCAAATTCAGACATGAAAATATTTCTCCTTTCCTGCTGCCCTGCTCCCTCCTCATTGCCGCATCCCTCCTTCCAAAGGCCACATTGCACAGCATGGCAATGTTTCGGTGGATGGCTTGGCTTGTGTGTTAGTGCAGACCTGCATGGATGTGTGTGTGTCCATTTGCTCAGGCTCTCCCAAAATGCCTCGTTCAGCTAACTGACTCACCCTGCTATAGCACGCTCAGCATCTCTTAGAAAGTGTCAATTTACCTTCCTGCAAACCTGGAGCAGAGAGGGAGCAGCCCAACAGCGACAGGCTGGGGGTTTCTGGTTGGTTTCTCCAGGCTGTCGGGGCAGCACATTTGTAAATGGCATTTTACAGACAGTGGTGCAGGTGGGGGTGACCTTTGGGTAAGATTGATGGCACTACTCAGCGTTAAGTCATACTAAGTATGTATTAATTAACTGTAGTTTGTTTTCCTTGGTTTGGCAGGATTTGGGTTTTGCCACAACCCCTTTGAAACATAAAGCAGTGATGTGGCATTCAGCGCATTGATCAGATGGGGAGTCCAGATGTGCCATCTGGTAAATTAGAAGGTAACAGGGGAAGGAAACAACTCCTCTATGGAAAGCTGCTCCCATACATAGCAGAGGAGGAGCGAAGGGCAGGTCATTTCCATCCCTGGGTGCTGCTTCGTGCTTCTCAGAGCCAACGGTGTGCAGGACGGGTTGCTGCTGACTGTCGGGGTGTTTGAGTCGTAGGGGCCCATTGCAGGCAAACAGGGCTTCGCTGGAGCTGGGTCGTGTTTGCTTTCCAGGTTGCCTTCCCCATGCAAGGCCTTCAGCCATTGTTCAGCTGCTGAGGAGAGATGGGGCAGTACCGTGGTGTTCAGCACAACCAGGCTTGCCAGGGCAGAGGGAGAGAGGCAGAGCAGCAGAGACAGAGCCAGGTGCCAGAGCAGCAGGTCACCAAAGAGATCAGTTTGTTTTTCATGCCGCACAGCTTCTTTCTTCATCCCTCTCGCCCTCCCCTGTTCTCATCCCCTCCCCAATCCTGGTCCCTGCTTTGCCAAGAGCACACTTTGGTACAAAGGTCTGAAAAACCAGGACCATGTCTATTCTGTGGGAACAAAAGGTTTCCTTTGTTGTAATTCCTCTGTTCAGCTCTGCACAAGGCCCTCGCATGGGGCACAGCGCCACGCGCCCTATGTGATGGGGACAAAAGCAGATTATTGTGGGGATGGCTGAAAGGAAACCATGACTCGTTCCCTTTCTGCTACAGTCTTGTTGACTTGATGGTGCTTTGCAGGAAACAATTCATACAGGTTTTCTCTGTATAATAATTGTAAAGACTTTTCTTGGTGGGAAAAAATCAGGGGATAGAGAGGGAGGCTTTATCTCAGGGACAAACAAAGTTTTGCCAGAAACAGTTTATGCAAAATTAAATGATTGCTTCCTGCTTCCCAAATGTTGTCTCTCAGTGTCGTGGCCCTGATTCAGCATGGAGGACAGGACGATGCGAAGGGCTGCGGGCTCAAAGGCTGTGTTAACCTCTCATTTAACTGCTGGCCCATGACAGGAGAGTGGAGTGTGGCAGAGAGAGGGCAGCAGCTGGACTGCTTTGCTAAGACCATCCTGCTACACACCTTGATTTGATGTTGGTGTTTGGTTTGGGTTTTTTTTAAACTTCTTTTTGCATATATTTAGAAAAAAGTAGGCCTGGATTAAAGGTCACGATTAACATGCACTTGACACCTCTTGGCCTTCTGCAGCCCCCTGCTGCTATCTGCCTCTCAGCCTGCTGTCCTGGTGCTTCTGTGGCCACTCTAGTGTCCTCCAGCGTTGGCTACTGTGGGTGGCACAGCAATAGAAACACCCAGTTTTACAGGTGGTTTTTTTTTCTGGTAAGGAGAGGCGGCTTTTGCAGTTGTGCTGGCTGTTTGTCAGCTGTTCCTCTAGAGGGGTGAGCAGGCAAGACAGGTTGGGGCCACAGAGTGGGTGTCCCTTTTGGAGGTGCTGACTGTCCCCTGGAACAAGGACTTTGGCAGGGCTTTAATGATCAGGGTTAAACCCAGCAGTGCCCTGCTCTGGAGTATGCTACTGCTTTGCACAACTAAGGGAGAAGATGGGTTTGAACTGTTTAAGGTGAGTTTAAACAGCAACAGGGGAGGTTTAGACTGGACATTAGGAAAAAATTTTTCACAGAAAGAGTGGTCAGACAGTGGAATAGGCTGCCCAGGGAGAGGGTGGAGTCACCATCCCTGGATGTGTTTAAGGGTCGTTTGGATGAGATGTTGGGGGATATGGTGTAGGGGAGAACTTTGTAGAGTAGGGCTGATGGTTGGACTCAGTGATCCCAAGGGTCTTTTCCAACCTGAATGATTCTGTGAATGGAGGGTTGCAGACAGCATGGAAACAGTTTTTTAAGTATAAACTTTTTTTTTTTTTCCTAAGTAGTGACATGTAAAGACTCATGCCAGCCCTCCAACTTGGGCTGCCACCATGCCAGAGGACTTCACCCAGGTGCCTGTTTCCAGCAGTAGCATCTCTTGGAGGATGTGGAGACTCCCCACACATGGACTGAGGGGCTCTTCCAGTGGAAAATTGCTCTCACAGGCATTCCTGACTCTGCCCACGCAATTCGCCTTTATCTATCTCCCCTGTCTCCCACCACATCATAACCCCCATCTCCCTTATCATTTTTCTCTGTGGCTGCTGAGATAGTCAGGCTGTTACACAGTGGCCTGCAACTGAGACGTCTCCTTGGTGGCTGCACTGGAGGCTGGAGAGGGCTCCAGCTCAGAAGCAGCATTTCCCCAGGTGAGTGAGGGCTGTTGGATGTTTTTGTCTCCTTTCTGGCCAACCTTCAAAATCAGTTTTGCCCTGGGAAGGAACAAGCCATGCCTGCAGGAGAACAATAGGTTACCCCCTTGGGGCAGGCGGGAGGGAGGGAACACCTAGGGCTGCACCAACACTCCAGTGTCCCCAGGAACAACCTGCCTGGGGGATCTTGTGTAGGGAGCTTACCCACAACCCCCGCCCCCCCCC